TTCTGACGAATTAGTAAGTAAACACCCACATCATGAAGCCACGCTGCGCGTCGGTCGATACTCCCGCTGTACTGTCTTCGTGCATACTTTGAGGTATCCTCGTAATAACCTTATTATTATACATCTTATCTTTCCAAGGATATCTTATGGGAATGCTGAAATCCAAAATGTCTATAACAGAATCAGCGAAATTCTTTTCTTTTTTTATTATTTATTGATATGCTTAACAAAATAAAGATACATTACACAAATACAAGACAGGTTACTACACAAATACAAACTTATGCTTCAAAATGAATGAATAATGAATTCTCCCCATTTTTAATTGCGACTTCCCTGTCTGTTTTCTATGATTGCCAATGTCTGGTTTTGGCCCAACAATTTTACATTTAAATATATACTAGCGTGTCAATAATAACATAGTATTGTGTAATGGTCTAGCATTGTATACAACCCCAAAAATACATGTGACTGCATTTAACGTCAAAGTATCACCTGTAATGAAAGAAAACCATTCATTGACTGATGTCCAAAATACAAATACATATATACAGTCCCAAAATAAATGAAAGTCGTCTTCCCCAACCTCTCCACGAAAAGAACACAGGGAGCAATCAATTAAGCCCCACAAGCGCAACAACCTGTTTGAAGGCAATATTTTAATATTAATGTTATATTGAAAATAGCGTAATTTGGCATCGGTAGTAATAGAAAAGGGAGCAAGATAAATATTTTCCGAGGTAAAGGGGTGTTCAAAATGTCCAGCCAATATTGCTGTATAACTGAGGGGGTTAAATCAGGAAATTCCTCATGGCAATACCAAAGATAAATACTTTTATTAACATTAGTTCCTGACAGCCAGATATTGTTATGCATGTTTGGCATACAGACCATTAGTTTTGACTTGTTAGATTCAACAATACTGCGCTTCCAAATTGAGCGAAATTCTTTGTATGGAGTCAAACCCTGTGGCAGCCATGTTTTTTGTTATGAGAGGACGCTTACGCGAGTAATCATTCCATATTTGGATTTCGCATTTCTTTATATTAATAGGTAATAATTACACATCACTAATACTATTATTGTAAATCATAACGGATTGTTTTCCTTTTTCATTCAATTGCGCATCCAGGCTTGTCACGGATGGAGATTACGGAATAATTAAGTCTACACACACACAAGTCAAACGAAAAACATAGTTATTCAGTCCAAACAAATAAAATATGTTTTAAGAATTATACACATCAATCTAGCCCATACTAATCCGTTACTCAACAAGGAAGCTATTTAAAATCGCTACTTGGAGGAACAGAAAACTGTTATGGCAATAGGGCGACATTCTTCCAAACACGATTGCCAAGTGAGTAAAACGTATCATGGCAAACAGTAACCGACTAGGAGTTAATAATTGAGTCAACAATAGCAGTTCATACTATTCCCGCACACCATGAATGGGTTCTGTTAAAACACGGTTAACGAAGGATGTTACATGTTACACAATAAGATTGAATAATCATTATCCTCGATGTACTCCATTATATTCCGAATTTCAAAATGGAATATAATTAAATACACTAAAAAACACCACAATTTGTTTTGCTTTTTAGCATACACGGAGATTCACATTTATACCATGATATACGAATAACTCGTTATGATAATATGAATATTAGCGAGTAAAATGCTTGAATAATTACTGAATACTTATATGAACGCCCATTCACATATTGATACAGTATCGAATATACACACGACAATTGAATGTTGAGTATAGCCGATAATATGTTTGTACAGTGTTGCCTACCTGACGATCCACCAGTATATTAACAGATTTCAATAAGAATGAAACAACTCATTAGGTGTGTCACAGCTGATACTTGATGGGGGAGACTACATAGCGTATTTTTGCAAGCGTCCTTTGTCCCAAGCGCCTGGGAAATGGATACTATATATATGACTATATTATCCAATTTTCACGAATAACATGTTCGGTACAAATTAATATTCTACCTAAAAAGGACGGTTCATGAGAAAATTCCTGTTAATTGTTTGCTACATAAAAAGAAACTTTGAGTTGCCTATTTATGTAAAAAGTAGTTTGTTTGTTTTTGTTTTGTTTGTTACGTACCGATTTTTCAACCAAACTCAAATCATGAATTAATCCATAATTTAATCTTGAAAGACCGGTGTATGATAAATTGTGATATGTTTTTTTCAAATGGCTCTTACATAACCAATAAAGCCCAAACTACAATATAATACGTTGAAAGAAAGGCATTTTTATATGTTAAATCGATCAAAGATCTGGCGATTCAGAGAGATGACAATTTGTATGCTAGTATGTGTGTGGTAAATATGACGTAACACTTTTTTTATAATATTAAATAAACTTTAATATATACAATTATGAGTTAAACACAGTTTCAGAATAGAGGTTAATCCTACAATAAGTATGACAAACCTACACTAAATATGGTCAATTTTATATTTGATACTTACTGTTACCAATATAGCGTTCCTCTGCAAGCAAGACTCCTGTATTTCTTCGTTGTTGTGTTGCAGAAGCCATTGACTGTCGTCCATTTCTACGTTCAGGAACTGTGAGTTATCACCAATGCACACTTACTTCCCTTAGCAATCCCCTATTTTAGTGACTTTATGCATTGTATTTTACTGTTCTTTGTTTCGTGTAATTATTTTGAGAGGTATTAAAGCCAGGAGCTTTAACTTGATATTTTGGTGTATGTGTATTTCATTTCCAGTACTATTGTCTTGTCTATCCCATATTAGCAGTGACAGACCCCCTGTCCAGTGTGAGTTCTGTGGGTTTCTTCCCATTAGCAATAAGCATGCCTTACACTGTGACACCTTCAATCTTCTTACATTTTGCTTGTTGCAAATGGGCTATTTTTTGGATTATTAATGCCATTGAATGCACGTGTGTTATGCAACGTAATATAGAATATGACAGTATTTAGATTATGGATCTACGAATGCATACATTAACAAAATAAGTATATATCCACATAAACAATAATGAATGAATTTCCCCCATTGTGTGGAGTATATGCCTGTATGTTCCGTCATCTCACTTGGCATACCATACTTTATACGATTATATACAGTAACCTCCGCCTTCGCATATGAACTACTCACAATCTTTTTTCATGGAAAGCTGTGCTTATACATCTTGTTTCTACTTTGGTAGTAATGCGTTGAGTTCTTATGATCTCTTATACCGCGCTGCAAGAACAAAACAAGAATAACTGAGAACAAGTACATTACACTACACAGTAAAATCATATGTACTCCTGCTCCACATGTTCCTCCTCCTCCGACCTTTTGGTCGTAAATAAATGGTTTATGTTTGAAACCTGAAGACTACTGTCTACAAAACCCTTTGTTTAATAGTTAAGACGTTTCAATACTCGAGCATAATGAATAAGTTGAAAAATAAAAATATAGGTAGGAGTGAGTTGGAAATATGCTGTGAATGTGTAGAAAATTGATCATAGTAAAATTAAAATCTTTCTTGTTATATAGTCTGGTGCAAAGCTGGTCATTTGAGTCAGCAAAAGTCTTCCTGATCTCAAATTTAATTGGATATATCACTGGAATATAATCACTAATCTATGAGTGTTTATAGAAAGTACATCATCAATAAATCTTAATGTAAAATTAAAGGATTAGTCCTCTTTGTACTGTTTGATCAGAACTAATTTCTGTAAAAAATTCGGGTAAATATGAATAAAGGAATAAATCTGCCAGCAGGACAAACACTGTCACGTTGTCGAATCTTGTAGTTTTGTCTTCATTCTATGAAATGGTGAGCCGAGTATGAAACTGTTGGTGGGATGGTAGATCTTAAAATACGGGTATCTATAGAGCGAGAGTAGGGAGCATCTCATATGTGTACCAGTGTCTAGCTAACATGACAGTAAGACGATATATGTACTTGTGTCTAGCTGAAAGGAGAATCAGATGAAATCTGACTGGGGTCTAGCTAATAGGAGACCAGGGCTAATTATTTTCTAGTGTCCAGCAGATAGGAGAGTCAGACAAAAAATGTATTAGTGTCTAGCAAATAGGGGATAAGACGAAATCTGTAATGGTGTCTAGCTAATAGGAGAGTCAGACGAAATCTGCATTAGTATCAAGCTAATAGGGGAGTCAGGCTAAATATGTACTTGTGTGTAGCTAATAAGAAAATCCGATGAAATAATGACTAGTGGTTAGCTAATAGGAGAGTAAGGTGAAATATTTCCTAGTGTTCAGCAAATAGAAGAGGCGAAATATTTACTAGTGTTTAGCTGAAAGAAGAGTCAAATTATGTCTTAGCTAATCTGAGAGTAAGATGATTTTTTTCTAGTGTCCCGCAAATAGGAGAGTCGGATGAAATCTTTACTCGTGTCTTGCTAAAAGGAGAGTCAAATGAAATCTGTACCAGTGCTTAGCTAATAGGAGAGTAAGGTGAAATCTTTAATAGTGTCTAGCTAACAGGAAAGTTAGACGAAATATGTACTGCTGTCTAGCTAATAGGAGAGTCAGACAAAATCTGCATTAGTATTAGCTAATAGGGGAGTCAAGCTAAATATATGTACTGGTGTTTAGCTTAAAGAAGAATAAAATTATGTCTGTACTGGTCCGTATCTAGTTTCTAGTGTCCAGCAGATAGTAGAGTCAGGCGAAATCTGTACTCGTGTCAATCTAATAGTAGAGTAAGACAAAATCTTTCTAGTGTCCAGCTGTTGGGAGAGTCAGACAAAATCTATACTAGTTTCAAGCTAATAGGAAAGTCAGACGAAATCAGTACCGGTCTCAAGCTAATAGGAAAGTCGGGTGAAATCTGTACTAGGGTCTAGCAGATAGCAGAGTCAGGCGAACTCTGTACTCGTGTCAAGCTAATAGTAGAGTACGACAAAATCTTTCCTAGTGTCTAGCAGATAGCAGGATAGTCAGACAAATCTGTACTGGTATGTACCTAATAGGAGAGTCAGACGAAATCTGTGTTAGTGTCTAGCTAACAGGGGAGTCAGACGAAATATGTACTGGTTATTAGCTAATAGGAGAGTAAGATAAAATATTTGATGAAATTTATACCAGTGTTTAGCTAGTAGGAAAGTAAATTGAAATCTTTCCTAGTATCCAGCTAATTGAATAGTAAGATGAAATTTGTATCAGTGTCTAGCTAATAAGATAGTCAGATGATATCTGTACTCGTCTCTAGCTAATAGGAGAGAAAAGTGAAATATTTTCCAGTGTCAAACTAATAGGAGAGTCAGACGAAATGTGTACAAGTGTCTAGCTAACAAGAGAGTCAGGCGAAATATGTACTTGTGTCTAGCGAATAGGAGATGCAGAAGAAATCTGTATTAGGGTCTAGCGAATAGGAAATTAAGCTGAAACATGTACTAGTTTCCAGCTAATATGACAGTAAGACGATATATGTACTAGTGTCTAGCTAATAGGAGATGCAGAAGAAATCTGTACTAGGGTCTAGCTAATAAGAGATGCAGAAGAAATCTGTACTAGGGTCTAGCTAATAGGAGACCAAGGTGAAATATTTGGCCAGCAGATAAGAGAGTCAGACAAAATCCTTACTGGTGTGTAGCTAAAACGAAAATCAGACGGAATCTGTACTAATGTCCAGCAGATAGCAGAGTCAGACGGAATCTGTACTAATGTCCAGCAGATAGCAGAGTCAGACGAAATCTGCATTATTATCAAGCTAATAGGGGAGTCAGGCTAAATATGTACTTAGTTAGTGACTAGTTAAGAAAATCCGATGAAATATGTGCCAGTGCTTAGCTAACTAGAGAGTAAGATAAATTTTTACTAGTGTCCAGCAGATAGTGTGTCCAATGAAATCTTTACTGGTGTCTAGCTAATAGGAGAGTAAGGTGAAATTATTACTAGTGTCCAGCAGATAGGAGATATGTACAAAAATAGGTAAAGTTCCATCTCGCCAACCACTATTGCGACTGTTGACACGAAGCCGACACTTCATTCAATAAACCGGGTAACTCGTTCCGTTCTGTCCATTCAATACCAGTTATATTACTTGTCAATGACTTTAAACCAGAGCTTAGACTGTGACTCGACTCACAGTGAACATTACTACGGCCGTCCCAAACTGACGGCAACGATCGTACAGCAAGGATGTACTCTCTCCAACAACCTCTGGCAAAAATACCCGACTACACGCATGTGCGAAGTTTAAATACGTTAATTAATTCGATAGCCCCAGGTGGCTCCAAAAATCAATGCGCTAGTGGCAACGCGCCATCTGGTTTGCATCGCCCAATCACGTATGATGTACCACTTATGTTATGTGTATCCACTCGGGAATATGAATTAAATGCCAAATGTTGACACGAGGTAATAGGAGAGTCAGACGAAATATTTACTAGTGTATTGCTTAAAGGAGAGTAAGGTGAAATATTTACTAGTGTCCAGCAGATATGAGGGTCCGATAAAATCTGTACCAGTGTCTAGTTAATAGGACAGTAAGACTATATATGTAATAGTGTCTAGGTAATAGGAGAGTCAGATGAAATTTGTACCAGTGTTCAGCTAATAGGAAAGTTAGGTAAAATCGTTCCTTGTGTGCAGGTAATATCAGTCAGATGAAATTTCTGAAGCGTAATTTATTGAGAGTACCTAATACACTTTTACACTAATACAAATTGTTTTATTTTTAGGCACTTCAAAGAACAAACACACATGCAATGTTTCAAGGTACCATACCTGACTATCCATGTTTCATAAATGTTTATGTATACGACATAAGACAAGTTCATAAGAGTAACTAAAACACCTTTCTTCCAAACCATTTTATTTTGAAGCAACTCACAAAACAAATACTTATGTAATGTTTCAACCTAAAACACCCGATTAGATAAGTGTTCATATACAGGACACTCGAACATACCTTATTAATGTTTATATTTAGGAATACATACTTACCTGATTATGTGATTTGTTTATCGTTTGTAATGATTACTGTGCAACAGTGCAAAGTGCTTGATCATGAAACACATAATTTGATATATTAAAAACACTTTTGAAGTTTTGTGATTATAAGCACTTTTTATACATGTTTCTGGTGGAAACACTTTTCATAATGTGTTTTGTGCAAAAATATCCCTGAAATGTTGCAATAGAAGTGTTTTCATAATATACACTTCCAGCAAATATGCAGATTATAAACACTTTAAGTGTTTTTAAAGTGACGACAGGCTTATAAACACTTCAAATGTTTTATCACAAAATAGTAAAAATATCTAAATCAACAGTAGTGTTGTAAAATAAGTTATTTTCAAATTTAAGAAAAAAATCAAAACAAGTGAATTTAAAGTGAGGACACAAATGTGTCATATTTTAAAACACTTTTATGTACTGTGCAACTGACTCAAGTACTTGATATATCATATAATGGTTGTTGAATAGAGTAATTAAAACGTCATTTTTTTATTTCACTAAATATACAAATTAAGTATGGGTCATTCCAACTTTATCCAGAATAGTTTACAAACACACTACATGATTCCATAACATATATACATCAGAGTGCTTACTATGCAACGTTTACATATTAGGGAATATACACGTGTCGCCAACTTCATATTTGCAACAGATTAAATTACCTCGCAATTCGGGCGTTAGTAAGTGTTTGGATTATATCCTGATGGTGTTGTTACAGTCCTTTATCAAGATATTGTTACAGTGGACCTGTCACGACTACGCACATGTTTTTCAAATTTATTTTTTACGTGACGTGTTATGCTTGCATAATAACACTCAGTTTAAAAGATATCGAGATCATCAACGGAAACTAAAAGAAGTAAATTAAACGTTTAGACAATTGCAAAAGTAATCGTAGTTATAATAGTAATTATGGTATTGGAAAATCATGATCGTTTCTATGGTCTATTATATCCAAATATTTCGTAATCTAAGCGATAGTATTCGACTATTTGTTCTAACAAATACCTGGGCAACGTCTGAATTGTGTCATGTAATTTTACGTTACCCTTTCGTTCGAGCATAGCAGGAAATCTAACAATATTGTCAACACCAAGTGAATGCAGAATGAAAGGTCCATCTTTATCCAAATACTCCATGTGCCCGATAAAGTCTAATTTTACAGCACATATGTTAGTAATAAAATATTGAGGTAACCAATGATCAGATTTGCGAACTCTCTTTAAGCCCAGCGAGATAACTAAATTTGCAAACTCTGTAAAAGTAACATTAAGTCTTCCAAAATCAGTGTGGTTATTTTTTGAGCCATTTGTTCTGATCCTTGTAATCAAGTTTCCAAATATAGTTTCAAATAATAATGATTCATTCGACGAGATGTGAAATTTATCATAATAACATGACACCATTCTTTCCAATGGGTCACGGACAAAAATTGCTTGTTTATATTGGTTCAGTGTGGAAACGGGAAAATTTCTTTTTTTGGATTTAATACTGACTTTTTTTAAAACGTGTGCCCAAAATCGAGACCCAACTTTTGGTATGCGCTGAAACATAAACTTGAACTCAGTTGAAACAGTCGTCCGAGTTCCATATCCCAATGTTACATTGTTACGAACGCACGCAATTTTGGCTCGCTGTATGCGTTCCTCGTTCGATTGTAATGGATTGTATGTTGCAACTGTATGCAGCTCTCCGGAGGAAATCTGTAATATAAGCGATAGAACCATGATTATTTTTTAGGAAAACTGTAAAACTGACATAGTGACATAATCACACGACACATTAATAAGCCTAAATTAGCATACCGATCGATGTGTGTATTATTGAACTGCCAATAATTACACAATATTATGTAAAATGTCTATTAGGCCTAATAAATTCGATATTGCAAATACAGATGGTTTAGGGCGCATTGCAAAACACAAATAAAATATTAATTTACACAATTGCCTTAAAATCTGTGGTACTCAGGTTTCGTATGTTGAATCAACATCAATGTGGCTGCCAAAATGTAATTTCCAGAACGTGGCTTGTTTCTGATCTTATGACTAACACACACATATACATATACATACACATATACATACTAATGAATCTAATTTAGCCCATTGCAAGGCAAAGTCAGAAGACTTACTGATGTAGGATGAATAAACGCCAAGAGACACTATATGATTCTAATTATTCAATATATAGCCTTCTAAACAATATGAATTATTTCCGTATAAGATTCACTGTAGTAAGCAGCTCAAGCCAAGCTCTGGTAATAAAAGTGTTTCCTTCAACTTATAGATCATGTAGAACAAAAGTGACTATGAATGTTGTATTTGTGACGATAAATAACGTAAAAGTTGTTATTTTGTCGAAGGGTAAAACACACGAACCCGGAGACCGAGCTCTGCTAGCTTGAATAACTAACCGCTGGTGATCAAAGTCACGTGACATAAATGCACTAACACATGATTCTTTAGTCTAATCTTCACAAACATTTGCACAGTTACTTACACGTCACTCATTACCACATAGCAGGTTCGACAAAGACAATGAAAATCGTGTTCGCAAATTTGAAATACGCCTAAATTGTATGAAATGAAATTAATATTGAAAGAAGGGTATATTAATACTTGTCAAAGTATACACATCTCGTATTGTTCGTCTTCAGGCTTGCTATATGATGTTGTAATTTATCTACGTATACTATTATACGTGCTGTGTAAGAGTATATTTTTTTTCTCGTATTAAAACTATCTAGAGTTCAGTGAATAAACATACCCCGTTATTATGAAAGCGGTGTGGGACTGTAAAATATATCTAGTCATCCCGACCCGCTGATATCATGCCATGGTGATGCAAATTCACCTAGCAGGCGATGAACTGAAGTTGACCTTTCGAAATATCGCTTTCTAGCCATGTTTTACAATAGATATCCAATATCACGATGTCATGCATCGTCTTAAATCTACATTTCCGACGGAAGTTATTGTGAAATAAATATTCAAAGAAAATATCAATGTTGTACGCAATGGAACTCTATACACATTGGTGCTTTTAAAGATAAGTGCGAATTGGATTTTAAGACAAAAGTAATTTAGATAAATAATGTATAAATTACACTACAGTGATAACTAACAATGGCATATAATATATGTATATATAAGAGGGAGATGTACATACTGTGTTGTCAGACTCTTTTACAGCGATTGGTTTCAAAGCTGAATAATAAAAATCAGGTTCAGTTTCAAGAGTGTAGCAATTATTTTGAATGATGCGATCAAGATGTGAGCTCAAAACATAAAATCTGTACATAAAATCGCATTATTACATTCTGATCAAATAATGTGGAGCATATAGCTAGTGATACAAATGCGTTTGGGATATTCAAGTCTTAACCTGCTTGTCATTATCTACGAAGTGGAGCATGAGTTAAGCAAACTATAATGGGAAGTATTTTTGGGGTGAAGTATACAGTGATCTCGTAAATGCTACATTAGCTCGGCGTTATCTGTATTTATTAAATGTAGTGGTTGTTATAATGCCCAATTATTTTACTTCACAGTAGTAAACATTCTAAAGGATTTCTTGTTTTTGTACTGATAAATCAAAGCAGAAAAGTGACGCATAGTACAATTTTGGGGGAAATAATATTACCTTCGATTGCCAACCTTGACGAGTTCGCACTGGTTTTAGAGTATGGTCTGGAAAGATACAAAATCCAATACTGCCCAATTAGCTATTATATTATCGTCAGTTGAGTATTCAGTATCAACGTGACACAGTCGCCAATAACGATAAAATAATTGAAACAATGGTATATGAGATTCAAGTCAAACCATGCATCACTTACCTAACCAGCAGTTCATTTCTATTTTGTTTGAATATATAGTCTTCTGGTAAAGTTATTTCACTGTGTAAATACTATAGAAAACGAAACACTCAAAAATTATTTCTACTTCTATTTTGCGTTTAAAAACAAGTGGATGTAATATTTATTTTTGTTATGGTAAAGCAATTATCAGCTAACAGATCCATTCGTAACATTGTGGGCTTAATGGAAACAAAATTTAAATTTCCTTAATGCTCTTCAACCATTCAGGTGAGTAAAGATTTGTAAAAGTAATAAATAATACGATTTAAGAATTGTATAGCACAAACGGGAAAACATAGCAAAAAACTATTGCAAATATAAACAAAACAGATATTTGATACGTAATTCACACTAATTGAAAATTGATGTTAAGTTAGATGCAACTTTCATGTCAATTTTTCATTTAAAGATTAGGATACCACATTTTGTTTTTGAAAAAGTAATAATAAAACATAAGAATCAACAATCACACCGATTTTGGATACTTATATTTCAAATTTATATTTGTTTAACTCAACGTTTCGCTTATTCCTAGTATATTTTTAATTTTCGTTTGTAATGCGTATTTTAACAAACATTCTTGTGGTTGTTACATCTACAATCTCTAAAAAGTGAAAAGAACTATATAAAATACATGGCACATAACGTAAATATGATTATGCCAAAAAAATATTTCTCAATATTGAAAACGACAAGGAAATTGAATTTTACCCATATTTTCAAATGCGCATTTGTCGAATTGAAATACAAAACATTGTGAGGCTAGGGATCAACCAACAACATTTCAAAATGGGTATTGGGGTAGAGGGCGTGTCACCTTGTCAGTTTATTGCTAGTAAATGCTTCACCTCCAAATTTATTTCGTGGACGTAATGCGGAGTAATTCTCCTGAATACAGCGGTACTGAAAAAAATCTCCAACGACGAGTCTCCACATATCAGTTTTCTGTCCGGAACTTGCCGACTCATATTGTCGCAAAGCGCCGGACTACCTCCAAACGTGCCAATTTTGTCGTAAATGATCTTCTGCACATGCGTATTGCGTTGCCAGAAATTCCAACATGGCGACTACGCCACCAAAATACGTTAGCATAGAAGTTCAGAGAAAAAACGGAGGGATTGTTGTTGACTGGTACGCAATTGACGTCAGCCAAGGAGAGTTCTGTGGATTTAGCAGGATTTTTTTTCGCCCTCTCGCATTAGTTTTGGGATCTCCAGAGGATGTCATCCATAAGATTAAATCAGTGTGGCCTAACTTGCCGCGGTATTTCCTAATCATGGCGTTAGATTCCGCCTTGAAGTTGGATAGCAACTATATTTAATCAATGGTTAGTGCAGGGAGGAATTGACTTGAGGTGGTCGACAACAGCGCTAATCCACATACTGCATACACACTATCCCTGAGGTGCTCGGCGATGTCAAAACACCCGGCGTCATCATACCAACCCCAACCACCGTGACTATTACGGGCTAGCTTCGTACTGTTCTATGCGCTGTTTCCTCCTGTGTCAGTGCAAGTCATGTCGACATATTTCAACTTCCAGCCAATAAAAAACGCCGTAATATAAGAAGTGTGGCTTAAATGACATTCTACTAATTGTTCACCCAATGTAGATGACTCCAAATCAATCGTTTAACCAATTAGACTTTTTCAGTTTTCAGCTGGCTTGGGTCTCTGCCTGGGGGTCTCTGTCCGGTGCCCCCCCCCCCCCCCGCAGAGAATGTTTCCATGTCAAAGGGCCGGATATGACAATGCTACCTTGTATCAAATTTCGCAGGTTTTTTTTTTGTTTATCTTGAAAACAGGTCAAGAAGCAGATGAAATAATGAAATTTGACTCCAATATTCCAATTGTCAATGTGTCGTAATACGGCATCAGTCCAATTTAACACATTGAGCGTATTTTGAAAGTCTAACTGTGATAATGAGAGTAAAATAATTAATGGCCACAGTATGGAGGGCAGATATAGTAATTTAAAAAGGAATAAAACCGCTGTGGCTTTATTACTTGAAGCATTTAATATGGATATTTTTCATAGTCTAAGCGTAAATTTCAAAGATGAAACATGACGTTTGCCATAATTCCATTTTGTTTATTTGATACACACAAGGAAAAATAAATGGCCGCCAGGTGTCACGGATTATGAATAGGGGAGTTGCTGCATAGATTTTTTGAATGTTCAAAAAAATCTTGATGAAATGTAAATGACAGGTAAACATCTAAAAATGATTTATTGATGCAAGGTTTGAAATTTTCATGAAATAATTATATATAGGT